TTTTATTGTATGTAACTCAACGCATAACTGTTATTTTAAGTTTTCTGTGTAATAAAGATGTAAATTACATCCTAAAGTTCTCAATTTTTTTTCCCTGGTAAATTCTTGTGCCAAGATCTGTTTTTTTTTTCCTTCCTTTTCTTCTTCTTTTTTTTGTATTTTGTGAGATTGATTTTATAGCACCATTTGGTAAACTACCGTTTTTCATTTTATCAGGGTAAACTTCCGTTTTTCATTTTATCAGAAGATTTATCTTTGTCAGATAAATACGGGTTCCTGTTTCTACCGCTCAACTGCTCCGGTACTTTTTTCCCTTTTAGACATTAGTTTTTATTTTTGCGTCACACATAAGCACATTTTAATTTTAATTACCTTTAGTGCGTAAGATCATAAATTTCATCATAGCCTTGCCTTTAGTGCAGTGGAGTCACTATTTTCAACTGTTGTGCGACTAAAATCTACATTCAATCCAAGTCTCTTGATGAAATCATTTTAAACTTAAATATTATTTTTTATTCTTAACTATGAGATGTATTTGTCCAGAGTAACTGCTGAATATCTTTTCTCCATAAAAAGATCATTTTACCTGAATAAATGTCTAACAGAACAGTTAAATCGGAGAACATTCAGTAAAACAGATAATAAAAATGTGTTCTTTGTTTAGAGAAGCTGGTTTGATTTATAGCTTTAAAATATTCACTTATTTAATTGCTCTAACTACTTATTTTATTCACAAAATAATAAAATTTTGGCGAGAGAAAAAAAATTTCGAAACTTTAATATTTGAAAAATATGAATTTAAAGAAAGTAAACAACTTAAAACTTAAAAAGAAAAAAAAAAAAAACATGGGTTATATTCACTGCTTTTTAGACCCACTGGAAAAAGAAAGTGGGGAAGGCCGCGGTTGAGATGGGCTGACTCAGTGGAGTCTGATTTTCTAGCAATTAATGAAAAGAATTGGAGATCAAAGATAAATCGGAAGTCGTCATGGAGAAATCTTCAGAGGAAGGCATTGGCTCTCATTGGGCTGTCTGGCCAACTATGATGATGGTGATGTTTGGTTTTATTCAAATAATCCAGCAAAAAAGAAAAGGATTACATTTAGCTTTCGACCGTTCCCTGTATAAACTATGTAGCCAAATTTTCGCCTAGCTCGAGTACCATATTTTAAAGGTTACGAATCAGAAGCTATCGAAAGTTCTTATTTAATCTATCGACAGTATTTATTTTAAGAAATTACGTTACAATTTCTTATTCGATAACTTAATTAATAGGCAGTCATTAGTAATTTACAAATTTAAAGCTGCCCTTTAAACTGTAAGCCAACAATGGTTCAGTGGTTAAAGCACTAAATTGTCATTATGAAGAAGTGAGGTTCGATCCCCATTGACGACTTGAAGCTGACGAAAGTGTCAAAAACTTGACAAAAAAAAAAAAAAAAAAAAAAAAAAAAAAAAAAAAAAAAAAAAAAAAAAAANATTTCTAAAAAAAAAAAAAAAAAAAAAAAAAAAAAAAAACTCTGAAAAATTGTTTAAGTACTCTCTTTAGAGTAGGTGGTAAAAAGTTGTACGATCTGACCCGTTGGATTTTGTTGAAATTAGTTTGGTGGGAATTGGGGAAGAAGATACTGCTTTTTATCATTGTTTAATAAAATCTTCTATAAATTATCTAAAGTACGTATTTAAATTGCAAAATTTTCGATTTTTCGGATATCTGTTTGTAGATGTAGACTTATACTTTAAACTGCAGTGGAGTTTATACTTTAAGATATAAGGTACTTGCACTTATATAAAAGTTTATATTTTAAAAAGTGATTGCAGTTTTTATTAAAAATGTCATTTTTATTGTTTTTATTTTTCTTATTTTTTTTTAAAAAATAAAATAAAGTATTTTTAAAATATATTAATAAAAAAGAAGCTGCTGATTGTTTTAAAATACTTTATCGTCTCCCAATTAATTGAAAAGCTGCTATAAATGAGAAAAAATTCCGCGAAGGATCCATAAACTTTGTTTAATGGCTATTGACTATAGCTCGATGCGCGCTACATTTTCATTTACGTACTTATAAGGAAAAAGAGCTTTGGTGTCTTAACTTTTTAAGTTTCGTGACGTGGCAAATTTACATTGAAGGTAAGGATTTTCGAATTAACCAATTTCGTATGAAAAAGAAAAAGATTATTATTTTAAATATCGCGAGGAATCGGAACGAAATCATAAAATCTGTAAAAATACGTTTCCTTCTCATTTGAAGTTGATGTTGTTCTTGTGAAATTAAACTTGTATAAAAAGCTTGTTCATGAAATTTCTTTTAACATAATATGTAAAAATACAATCATTGTATTAAAAGCAGAGCTGTGGAATCGATAGTTGAAATGTTCGACTCCGGACTTTTTGGAGAGCTCAACTTCGACTCCTATTTTTGATTTTTTTTTTTTTACCGAATATTGGAAAAGTATTAATGTTATTAGTAAATAAAGGTTAATTACAAATTATTTACGGTCGATTAGAGTTCGAATTATTTATGTAGATAAGTGTATGCATAGTTCAATAAATCATAGCCTCAAAAGCGTTCAAATGTGTGAAGTGATAAGCTACAGTCTTCACTTAACACATTTGAGCGTTTAATTATATTAAAAAAACGTTCTAATAACGGGGAAATCTGCTTTTCAACCTTAACTAATTAAACTTTTTTGAATTTATGAATCATAAGATAAATTATTTATAATTCCTTTTAATATCAGTTTTTTTTTTTAAATTTTCAAAATTTCCTGTGTGTGTGTGTTTTAAGAAGTTTAATAAAATCGCTGACATAACATTGGATTTATGAAGAAGTCTTATTTTATAAGCCTGCTAGGCGATTTTACTTAATATCTTTTTTTTAAAAAAAAATATTTTATTAGAATCTATATCTTTTATTAAATTATCATTTTATTAAAATCTATATCTTTTATTAAATTATCCTTTTATTAGAATCTATATCTTTTATTAAATTATCCTTTTATTAGAATCTATATGTTTTTTTAATTAATATTGTTTTTATATCTTTTTTTCTTTTTTTTTTTTAAATTTTTTTTTTTTTAAATTTTTTTTTTTTTACGAGTTAAAAATTTTTTGTTTTATGCTTACCCTGATATATGGTATAATATTTGTCACGTTTTTTGAAGTTAAAATATTTTGTTTGAATGTCAAAACAAGGTTACGCGTGACATGTAGCTGATAGGCAAAGCAAATAAGATATCTTGCTATCTTTTATCTGTTTTTTTTTTTAATTGCATCACAAATACAAGTCACAGGACTCATTCTTTTCAAATCACCCCTCCGCGGATGACAATGTAATTCATTTTGTAAATAAAGTTTCAATTTTTAATTTATTATATTTTTGTCATCGCATCACTCAAACAAGTAAGAATTTGATTTATTTAACTTATTTATTTGTAAACGTGTTTTCCACTTGCTTATTTATTTATAAATATGTTTCATTAATATTTGAAATTGTATTAAAGCTAAGGTTTTAGTTTACTTTTTTTTTTTTTTTCCTTAAAGAAGCTTTCAACATAGTATCCCATAATCAAGTGTTCTTTTGACATTTAATTATTAATTTCTATTAAAAGATTTTCTTCTAATTTTTACAGAAACTCATTTTTTTTACTTGTATTAAATAAGATGGTTAATCAGGAGTCAATTTAAAAAGAAATAAGATTTATTTATAAAGCTGTAATATATTTAATTTATTTATGCAAAATTCCGATTTCGTCATTTTGTCGGACTTGTTGAACATTAAAAGAGAAAATAACCTAGTTTTCCAACGCAAAATGAAAAGAGAGGAATATTCAGAAATTTAATTTGAGGCTGCAAAATGAAATAAAATATGTAAATAAATACTACTAATAATAATATCGTGTCTTTAAAATATTGTAGCATAATTAAAGAAGTTTTGCTTAAATTACAATTGTAATGATAGGACGTTAGTTTCTTTTTAGATTTTTAAAATTTTTTTTTTTAAATAATTTTTGTGAATATGATATGGATACTAAGTATTAAAAAAGCTTAAACTTCTCACAAATAAATAAATAAATAAATATATATATATATAAGCATATGTAAAAANTATGTATATATATTTGTTGCACCTTAAACAGTTATGGTGCCAGTTAAACAGTTGGAGATCTTGGAGAGTATGAAGTAAAACTTTTTCAAAAAAGCGCATATTTATATCTAGTTATTCTTTAGTATTGTTTTCAGATACGTACTTTACAAGTTCCCGGAACTTCCTGATAACACCACAATACACAGAAACATATAGCCTGCATGGCAGCCATGGTGTTTTCACCAGAAATTTGTTTCTGCTCAATTTGAAAATGATGCTTATAATTATATTGCAAATCTGCTTAAGTTACATTCAAGTTTATTTACAGGAAAAATAACTTTTGTAGATTTGGGTATTTTTTTACTAATTGCTTACTTAAAATTTGCTACGTTATCAAGAAACACTCATTCAATATTGTATTTATGTATAATTAATTACTTTTTTTTACACTGTATCGAAAATGTTAACTTTACTTGGAATTATCAATGTTTTGATATTGGTGTCATTTGTGACTGTTGTGAGTATGAATTAACAGTTAACAGTTAAAGAGCTTAGAGAGTATTAGGTCACACTTTTTCCAAAAGACGCACTGTTCCTTAGAATTATTTTCAGATATGTATTTTACAAGTTTCCGGAACTTCTAATTGGTTACAGCACAATACACCGAAACATATTACTTACATGGCAATCTTGGCATTTTTCGCCAGAAACTCATTTCTTCTCCATTAGAAAATATTGCTTATATTGCAAAATTGTATAAGTGACACTCAAGTTTATTTACTAAAAAAATAACTTTTATAGACTGAGATGTTTTTGTTTTATATTTGATTGCTTGAAATTTGTTACCTTATCACAAAACACTAATCGAATATTGTATATATGTCTAATTAAACTTATTTTTTATACTTGTAGCGAAAATGTTCACTTTGCTTGGAATTATTAACGTTTTGATATCGGTGTTATTTGTGACTGTTGTAAGTATGAATTATTAATCGTTGTGCGAATTTTTCTTTAATTTAAACATTTTAAAAGTAATTTTCTTCTTTCCTTCGTGTTTCTTTTTTTTTTTTTAATAATTATAGAATGGTGATGGACACTGTGTAATGAGAGGACAATGTGAGATAGATAATGTTACTACTTTAGCCAAGACCTGTGTTTATAACGGACCTCCTAAACCACTGACAGACAATTCTTCAGTTAGTTACTTAAAAGATCTTTGTCCAAATTTAAATGTTGGTAAGTACTATATTTAGCAAACTCTGCCTAGTGGAGTTTCCTAGGCAATCTTATGAAGACTATTAATTGAATCGCATAATTTTGAATCAAAATTGCATCAAATTTATTAATAATGATTTAGTGGTTTTGATCGGAATTTTGCAGGGTTTTATCTGTATCTGACGGTGTGTATACAAGATGTACCAAAAAGCGAATAATTTAAGAATTTTGTTTAAAATCAGTTTTATATTTTAATTACGTTATTTTAATGTCGAAATTTGTATTTATTCTGGGAGTACGCAGGTTATAAGAACGTATGGGAATTTTTTAAAAATAAATTTGCTCTTTTCTCCTGATATATTGCACATTGTAATTTAAATTATTCAATTACGGTTTATTATAAATTATGAGAAATCTTAATGTTCTTTAAGATTTGGGGGTGTGAGCTTGTTGATATAACTATTTGCTTTAAGAGAAATGTAGAAAAAGAAGTCCAGAATCGTTTTTATTTATCTTTCTCATCGCACTGTTTATTTATGTTATAATCTAATAAAAAATTCCGGTTCTTATCGAAATTCGCGAGCATGTTTAAATATGTATATCGTAAGGTAATGAGAAAAATTTTGCTCTAATTAGTATGCTATTTTATTATTATTATTATTTTTTTGGTTCAATACAATTAGCCATGTGCCTTTCGGCTAATTAAGAAATGTGTGAAGTATTCTTCAGACTTACTGCTAAAACCCTTAATAAGGCTATTTACTTTTCATTTTATTTTGTAACCGTCGTTGAACTGCCGACCCAATTTCGGGTTTACGACTTGCTCAACTCCACAGCCTTGTAATTTTGAACCAATCCAGAAGACAAGGAAACTCCTGGATCAGTACCCCCAGAGATATGGTTATCCTAGGTACGCTTTTCCAACTCTGGGCTTATTGCAAACTACCTGCAGTAAATCAGGCTTGTTAAACAATGTATGGAATATTATATAATTAGCCTAATAATATATTGGTACACTGTAATAAGCTTAAAAAGTTTCAGGCTGACTAAAAAATACTGGTGACTTCCAATCAGCATGGCGCATTACAAAATGTCGATGGGTGTTTGCTAAAGTGCTGAATTTTACAATTAACCAACGTCATATATTAAAAATATTGACATTAAATTATATATTATATATTAAAAAACATTTTATGTTATAAAAATTAAAAAATATATATTTTTTATTTTGCTGAATAAAATTTAATCTTATGCATTTATTATCAAATGAATGTTTTTTTTATTGAATATAAACGACGAATCACAATAGGGCTTTACTAGTCGTTTTACGTATTCATATTGTTGTAATTAAAAAAAAAAAGGAAAAGAAACCGTTGTAACGAAAGCTTTTTGTAACAAAATGAATGAAACAGAACATTTATGTAGTAAATATTACTCGTACTTAGTTACTCTAACTTAGCTTAAAAATAAATGCAGTGTAGACATCGAAAAACAAAAATTTAAGAGTGGTAGGTGTTTCAATTCTCGAAACTTCTGAAATCCAAGTCATTATTTAGTGATTTATTTATTGAATCAGAATAAAGACGTAAACTTTTATGACCTTTTTTGTTTCGATAAGCTGTAGATATTCAGAAATTTTTCACGTCAAGATTTTATCGGCCGATGAATCAACACTTTATTACCAAGCGTTTAGGATGTTTGCAAATTTATATGTAGGAATAATAATAAAAAAGGGATCAAATGGTGGTTTTATTAATATTTTTTTATTTTATTAAACTTTAATACTTCAAAAACTAAAGAAATTTGACATGAAAATAATTTTTTTCTTTCTTTTCTTTCTTTTTTCTTTAATAAAATTGTACCTTTCATACTAAATGTTTTTTTTTTTTTTTTTAAAACAATTTTTTTAACGTAACATTAAAACCGTTAATTTTTTTCCATATTTATTTATTTTTTAGATTTCTTTATTTTAGTTTAGTCAGTTTTTTAATGCCAACGATATTTTATGCTACGGAATCAGACACAAAAACGTTCTTTCCCATGCCCGTTTTTTGAGGGATTTAGATTTTTGATCATCAAAATATATAGAAGGGGGGAGGGGGGGAGATCTATATATATTGATCTCTGTAGCCGAAATCTGGTGATTCCGAGTCGGACTGGAGAGCGGGCGAAAGTTTAAGCCGTTACTTTTTGCGTATTTCACTATATTTGAGGAACTATTTAAGCCAATCAAAAAATTTTGGCTTCAATTATTAAACTATTTTGTACAATGGCATTTTTGTGTAAAAATATTTTTTATTATTGAATTTATTAATTGTCAAAATAGTTTTGAACTTTAAGGTATACGAATTTTTATATCATTTTATTTAGTAATTTTTAGTTAGAAAATAATAATAATCAGAGTTCAATGTAATTGATCAAATATTTCATGCGAAATGAAAATTTAGAAATGTTTCTGAAATTTCATCTCTCAGAAACTATGCGGCCAATTTCGTCCAATTTTATCATTTAAAATATCTAATAACATACTTTAAACTTGAATAAAATTTAATTTTGTATACCTTACAATTTGATAAGTTATCAATTATTAAGATAAATAATTAATACTATTTATAAAAGTTATTTTTTACTTGGAAATAGAGCAAGTTTTATGATCGTGATAATCGAATTTAGATGAATGAGTTTTAATCTTCTGAAAAGTTTTAAGTCAAGGGTCAATTTTTGGAACCATTAAAATTGGTCTTTTAGTGCACCTAGTATGATCATTAAAATAAAAGTTATTTAGGGTGATACATATCTATATATTTTCTGTTTTTTAAATTTTGTAATTTGCTATTATAAACACTTGTTTCATTCATAAATATGAAGAGTTTCTATGCATTCATTATTTTTAATCATACAGTTGTATGCTTACCAGTGGCATGATTACTTGATTCTTTTTAGAAAATCATTGATTTAAATCAACTATGATATTTTAAAAAAGAAATTAACTTAAGCCAATTGATATTTTACAATAAATCTTAAGTAAAATACTTTTATCTATAATTATTTATAAATATTTTCTTTCGGATGTGATTTCTTGTAAAAAAAATCTGATTTCATTAATAATGAAGGTTTTATCCAAAAAAAAAATATAATGAAAAGAAAATGTATGTAAATTATTATATTTCAAACTAGATTAATAAATAAATAAAATTAGAGAAAAAGGTGGCTTGATATTGTTAAATTATATTTTCCTATTAGCTCTATGTAAAATTATTTGCTGGTAATAAATATATTTTAGTTATACCTATTTACTTTTTTGTTTATTTGAATACAAGTGATAGTAAAACGTAATAAACTCATAGTTATTGTATATCAATACTGAAAAAAAAAAACTTGTTCTGTCCAGAGAAACTTAAAAGAATTTTTTTCTTTAATATATTCTGATTGAAACTAATTTACTCTTCATTGGATATTTAACTGAATTGCATTTTGTCTTTAAAATTTTAGGATGTTTTAGCTTGAGCAAAAATAACTATGATTTTATTTTTTCAGTGATTAGATTGTAATAATTAAATAATAATCTATGAAACATTTTGGTTAAAAATAATAAATGTTTTAGCTATATTATTAATTTTAAATACTAATATTTAATCTGGTTTTTTAATTTAAAAAAAAAAAATCGTATTTTTTGCCAAGCTTGATGGTTACTATGTATTATAGTGTATCGTTGTTGTTACTATTATATTTTATAGTTATTCAAAATAAAATTTATGCCTACATATGAGTTAAATGAAATGTTCAAACAATTATAAAGAAAAAATTTTGAAAGTAAATGCTGTTTATTTTTCCTATTTAAACAATCCTTTTTTTTTTTAAATTAATAAAAACTGTGTTATTAATTTTAATAATTATTGATATTTCTTAAATTAAAATTATTTTTAGTATTTTAATTATTGATAATTTTAATTTTAAATAAAAAAAGTCTTTTGTAATCCATCAGAAAATACTACTTGGTCTAAGATACAAGAATTAAAATTAATGCTTTCTTTTTAGATTGTTTTTTTTTACAAGTGGTACTTATTTTTTTGATGACATATATTTATTTATTGTCATTTTAAGTAACATTTTTATGATGTTCAGAGGAGAGAATTAATTCTACTAATATTCTTTATTGTCATAATATTTGGCTGAAACTTTGAAAAGTTACTTCAAAATACTTAAGAAAATTTTTAATTTTAATAGCTTTAAAAAGTTAATGCTTATTAAAAAAAGTAATTTTTTTTCAGGACCAAATTTTGAAGTTTGCTGTGATGCTGATCAAGTTCAAGCTTTTCAGGAATCGTTTAGTGCTTTAGCAAACTTCTTTCAAAGATGCCAATCTTGTTTTCACAATTTAGCCCAAATATTTTGCAATCTTGCGTGCTCACCAACTCAAAGCAAATTCATGCAGGTAAAAAGTTTGAATATTTTATAAAACTTGCATTTTAGTTAAAGAATTTACTACTTACTGGTTTTCCTTTAATGCCTTTTCTTCAGTTATGTTTTTTGTAATATATATTTTAATGTTTTTAATTTTTGTTTCAAAAAGGATTTTATGAAAGAAATAGCACTTGAAATGTGTAAGCATGTCATGATGTTGAAATTTCTAATTCGTATAGTTTACACACACTCACAAAAATTTTTAAACTGTCTTGGTTTACAAAAATAGCAATGAAGCATATTTTTAATTGTAAAATCTTTTCATATTAGGCTAATGCTTGAAAAAATGTTCTTATACAAATTTATAACTTTACATTAGTTATGCTGTTTCAATGCTATTATGTCTTAAAAATACATAATTGATTAAAATTACTATCAATAGTGGTGAAATTCTTTGCTTTATATCATTTTAATTTTCTGCCCTTTATAAATTTAAATAAAGGATTGCTTTAAGTAATTGAACAGAATGTTATAATTGGTTTATCATTAGATTTAAATTTTTTTTCCTTCAAATTATATGCATGGTTGCAATGCAGATACGAGCCATTAGAAACATTTTTTGTCTCTTTTTTTATACAATATAATATCTATCATAATCTATGAAATTTTGTCTCATTTTTGATCTAACATAATCTATGAAATAATTTTTCCTTTTTTGTTCCCAGTTGTTATTTGTTATTTTTTTTTTTTTTTTTTTTTTTTTTTTTTTTTTTTTTTTTTTTTTTTTTTTTTTTTNTTTTTTTTTTTTTTTTTTTTTTTTTTGCTGACTAGGGGTATGAGCAATGCTTTACCTATGCTAAAATTCTTTTATTTTTAAATTTTATTTACAAGACTTTTAAAAGCAATGTATCAATAAAATTTAGATAATGCCTAAAAAATATACTTAAATATTTATTTTACCTGCTTTTTTTAAAAATTTAAGCATCTTAGTATTTAGTTCTAGCTTCTTCATAACTTTAAAGTTAAGGTTTTCCTTAACCGAAAAATAGATATATAAAGTAGAGCATAAGTAGTGCATCAGCAAAGATACAGTAAATGCATAAGAACATAGCAGAAAAATTTAGCAAATTCCTGGAATGTTTAGAAAGTATCTATTTTTTGTGTATTAGGGGAGAGTCGGGTAGCCCCGCCCACTTAAGGAGTATTGCTTATATTTCTGTATAATATTGAGTAATAATCAATATTTTTGTATGTTTCTTTTGTTTTATCATCTAATTAAATAATGCAAAAAGAATAAACCAAAAAAAGAATAATTTAACTTAAAAAAATAGAAATTTAAAAAAGCATGTTTTTCAGCTCTTTTCAAAATGTGTCGGGTAGCCCCGGCCAGTTACAAAAATTATGTTTTTTGACTGTTTTTTCAGGTGTAAATGAAAATGATCAATGTATTGACAACAGATAAACCTCATTTATCATTTTTATCACAAAATTCAACCGATTTTTCTTAATTTCATGACTACATATTTTCAAAACTATTGTTTACCATGTTACCAGCTGCATAAACTCTTGAAACTTTGAAAATAATCTTTTTTTAATATAACAATTAATGTCCGATGGCCCATTGACTTGAAAAGAATATTCTATACATATGAAATTGACAGTGGGCGGGGGTACCCGACACTTTCCTACATAGTTTTTCTTATTTTATCTATAAAGTTTTTGCATGTTCCAAAGTAATCTTTTTTTTAGGTAACAAATTACACTACCGATGGAAAAAAACTGTCAGTTGATGCACTGGATTACTACATTACTGAAAGTTTCACAGACGGGCTCTTCAACTCCTGTAAGAATGTGCAGCTCTCATTTGTGACACAGAAAGCCATTACCATCACATGTGGCTCGCATGCTGATGACTGCACTCCTCATTATTGGCTAGAATATATGGGAGGACATGATCCATCTCCCTATCAGATAAATTTCAAATTTGTAGAGACTGACAAAGTGATAGTGGGAAATCAGACTTTTTATCCCATGAATGAAACTATTATTCCTTGCTCAATGCCAGCAAAAGCTGGTGGGGTTGCCTGTTCTTGTGTAGACTGTCCGTGTGATCCCGAGCCACCTCCTGGTCCTGACGGGCCTGGTACAAAAATACTGGGCTTGGATCTAATGCAGGCTATCATGTTATTGGTATACATTCTTGTTGCTGCCACTATTATCGGATATTTTCTTTACAGGAGGATCAAAAGTAAATCTGAAGGTAATTATGCTTCTTGTAATTGATTGTGTACTTTATTATAATTTTTTATTTTTATGCTTTTAATTTTATTTTTATTACTCTTATACCTTTTAAGGCCAGGTTTCTTAGGAGAAGTGTCTTAACTGGGCGTTAGCGTTAAGTTGATATAATTTTGACGTCATAAAAGTACCGTTTTGTTAGCTCAGCGTGAGCAGTCGGTTCAACACAAACATTATCTTGCATTGCGCATGTGTTAATAACGTAAACAAATATTTATTTTTAACTTGTATTGATTTTGTGATTGTCGACCAGTGCTTTAAAGAACAAATAATAACTTTGTCCCAGAAAAAACACATTATAGCTTAGCTAAATGAAGAAGAAGAGGGAAAAGAGGCTATGTTTAATGTTAAAATTAAAATCTTGGCTGATTTCAATGCTCTGTTGTTGGCTGTTGTCCGCCATTGCTTCTGTTATTAACGTCACGTTGTAATCCAACTGCAGTTGATTTGGACGGCAGTTGTCGTTCAAGCTGAGCGTTCGATGACGCATGCTGTCAAACTCATAAATTGACCAATCAGAGGTAAAGGTTCGTTTCAAGCTGAAGCCGACAATCTACGTTTCCTAAGAAACCAGACCTTTAATTGTATTTTATATTTTCTTTTTTTATTAAAAATTTTATATTGGATATTTGAATTATATTTTTAATGTTAGAATGATGCTATCCTATTTTACCTAAAGATTTATGTTTTTAACTTTGTGTTTGATTAGAGAATGAAGTTGCAAAAGACTATTTTTTTTCTCAATCTATTTTATTTATGACTGTCATTGAACAGCCGACCCAATTTTAGAGTTTACGACTACCAATTTTCATCTCCGTAGCCTTGTAAATTTGAACCCAAACTACTTACAAAGTTCTTGTCAATTTTATTTTTTCTTCACATGGCATCCAAGAGAAAATAAAAAGATATTGAAGAAGGTAAAATGACTTATTTGTATAGTACTACGTAAGCAGCTGCAATGGCTTATTTGCATAAGCCAGTAGGGTAAAGGAATCTAATTATCAGTTCAGCAAAATATGTTCGTTGAGGATTATCATATTCTATCTTTGTTCTTTTAAGTTTAAATTTAATTTTTCTTAAGATTTGCAGTCTTTTAAAAATCTATCTTTTTATCTTGTTTACTGTCTTTAATTTGGATAATGTATGCATCATTGATTTTGAAACTTAATATTCTGTTATGTTAGTTTCAATTGCTCAATATTTCAAATTTACCTAGTTCACATTGAAAAAGCCTACTTTATATAAAATATATTTAATTTTCAAAATTGAAATAAAACTTATCATTTTTTTAAATAGTAATATTTTATTATTATTTTTTAATTAAGTAATCTAGCAAGCAGAAAAAATCTTCTCACTTCATTTTTTTTTTTAATGTTTTAGATAAAATCTGTAGTTTTCTCTTGTTGAAATTTTATAAACTCAGGAAAAAAGTATTATTACAGTTGTGGGCATTTTGAAAAATAAAATAATGATTATATTTATTCACATTTTTATAAAGCTTTTTAAGTTTCACTTGTTTTTTATTGTTCAATATTTTTGTCTAAAATATAGTTTAGTATTTTGTGATCTATAAATATATTTTACTAAGTAGCATAATTTGCTTTCCATGATCAGTTTTATAGTAAGTATTAAAATAACTAGTCTTAATAATCAAAATTCTTATTAATATTTAAGTTTTGTATTGAATAAATTTAAGGCTTGGATCAGTCTAGTGCGACTGATCCAAGCTATTCATTTTATTATAACTTCTTTTTTTGTTTTCACTCATTTTTATATTACAAATTAAATATGATTTTTTTTAAAAAAAAGAAAAGTAAGTAGCTTGCAAATTATTCTGCTAAGTTGTCAAATCAGTTATTTTCATTTGTTTTGTAACAATTGCAATTTAACCCTTTTCAGAAGATGAATTGCTAATAATTGATGTGAAATTAGATCCAAAAAGAGTTAGCAGATGCAACCGGTGGGGAGCTCAACTTGATGAATGGTTGAAAGACATATTTACTCGATGGGCATTGATGTGTGCATCGTATCCATATACAGTACTTCTTATTTGTATTGCTTTTCTCATTATCTGTGGATCTGGTCTTATCTTTTTCACAATAAGAACAAATCCAGTTGAATTGTGGTCTGCACCTACAAGTCAAGCAAGAGAGCAAAAAGATTACTTTGACAATCATTTTGGGTATGATTTACTATTTTATTTGAAATTTTGTAACCAAGCTGTGAAGTTATATATTTTTTTATGAAAATTGAAATAATTAATAAGTTATATCTTTTGTTTTGTTGTATCGCTTTTTTCCATCTCCAGTTTTCCATCATGTGTATGCAAAATTCGATATTCAAATAATTTTTAGGTAGTTACTGTTTCCATTTTTAAAACTTCAATTATATCAGTATCAAACCTTGTTCATAAATTTATATAAGGGTATGCTTTTTATTTGGTGTCAAAAACCTGAAAGTTTCAGATGATTAATATTGTGTTTGTTTGATGAGATCAAAATGCATGTGACCAAAACCTGGTTTTTGGTCTCATGTATTTTGATCTGATCATCTGATGGGGTTAAAGAATGCAGTCTGGAACCCTATCAAACTATTCTGAGACGATTGGACAAGTGAATCATAGCCAACAAGAAAAAGCCTGTGTCGTAAGGGATTCAATGTTTCTAAAATAGCTAGATCTAAAATATTGCATAAACAAACCAATAGAATGTTCATTATTGAGCCAGCTATGTTCGCTTTTAGAAGTTGGTTTCTTAGGGGAAGGAAAGAAAGACAAACCTTGTTGTATTAGCTAAATTATATTATGGTTTGTTTAAATAAATTATTATATTCATGCTAGAGGGAATTATCAGGAATATTTCTTGGAAAAAATGAAGATACAATAAATGTACTTCAGAGATTAATGAGAGGTTGTCTATAAATAAGCGTCAAGTTCCTTATTTGTCATATTTTCATGATATTTCTAAAATGTACATTATATATATATATATATATATAAACTAATTCTATGTAAATTTTGAATATAAAGCTATATGTAAAAATACTTCTATGCAGACCTTTCTACCGTACTGAACAAGTTATTATTAGACGGAAATCTGGAGAACCTGTTATTGGAAATAATCTGACTTTTAGTTCTGTGTTTGATAGGGAATTTCTTCACAAGGTATGTATTAATTTTTGCTATACATACATTTATTATTCAGATTACCTTGTTTAATTATGATTACTACTATTTTCTTTGTTTATTGTTTTTTAAAGGATTACTCATTTCAATTTTACTGTAGCTAAAATAATCTCCAATTGTTATTATTTATTCATTTACATTTCTATTTTCACTATTTAGACAATGTTTTTGAGCTTATCAGTTGATTATATCATTATAGAAACTATTAAAAACCAGTAAATATATTTTCTGGATTATTAGTTGCTTTATTATGTAAATTGACCTTTTAATGTGAAATCTTGCTTATTTGGAGTGAAAGTTGGCCCATGAGTCCTTCTTTGTTTATAATGTTCTTTTGTTTCTAAATTATTAAAAAAAAATCTCAGGTGTGCTTAAATTTTTATTTTTATTTTAATAAAAATATTCTACAATGATATTTCTTAATCTGAGTTATTTTGTTCATTGTCCGTTTTCTAATAAAGAAGGTACTTTTTCCTTTGAAGGAAAAGTTTAGATGCATAAATAAAGCTATTGTTATTAAGGTGTTCATTAGGGTCATGTTGGGTAAACTGGGTATAAAATCAAGCTTTTTTTTAAAGAAGGCTTTGAAATGAAACAAATATATTTTACTGAAAATTTTTATGCTGTTTATATACATTGAATTTATATTATAGATTAAATAGGAAGCATAACTTATCAATTTTATTTTTTTGTTTTATTACAGTAATGCATTCAAAAGAACATGTTTTGATATACCCACTTTTCCCCAAAGTCGGTATAGTTCTGGAATTAGTATATATTTCACTAAAAAACATACGATAATTTTGTTTTAGAAATAAAAATGCTCTTAAATAAATACATAATGATTATATTCAGAAATAATTTTTTTCGTAATATTAAATTAAAGAATTATTTTCCATGGCTATCAAAATTAGGTTTCACTTCGGATGCAATTTATTTTGCTGAACTCTGCACAATTTCATAAAAAAACAAGAAAGCTTTTATAGTTTTTGGTTTATTTTAAATATAAATGAGAATGTAAGAATTAATATCTATAGTGGCAATTTAAAGTGATTTTGGTATTTAGAGCAGACTATTTTTATTCAATTAAGTTATTTTAAGGAAAAGTTGGAGATGTGGCCAGAGCTGTGCTCCATGCCTTCGGTTCCATTTGACTTGTACTTTAACTTTTCTGCACTTGTCAAACGACAACAACACAACAACATTTTAAGAAAAATGTTTTGTTGTCCATGAAAAAACTATCATTTGAACTTAGTAACTTGCATAAAATCTCATCTATATCTTTAAATATGCTCACTAGATTGTACCATTATGCTATTTTGGTAATTTTTTCAATTGTATGCTATGCATGTTATGTTATTATTCCTCACCCCATCATTCTTCTCTTAAAAAAAGTTGAAAGAAATGTTTTCAGTGCGAAAATTGCTATATAGGGCTATAATTAAACAATTAAATTATTTTTTAGCTATTTCATTATAAAATATGAAGCATTGGATACTTTCTAAAACTAACACAGAAGTAAAAAAAAATATCCATATCTTACAACACTTAACTAAGTCTAACCATATAATCACTTGACCCCACCTTAGAAACTTGTTTTTTCTAACGACTGGCACTGAACCTTTTACATTCTTCGCCTAGGAAGATGCCGGAAGTGTTACGCATTTAACGTTACCCATTGCATATTGCAATGTTTTTTTTTAACGGCAGGATTGCTCGTTTAACTGAACCCTAAGTCACGGAGGCGAGCAACATTACCCACGCCACACTGTCACAGATACCCATTCATAGACGGGCCACATTCACACATCACATAATAGAGAGAGAAACATCCATGCCCTGAGCGGGATTCGAACCTGCAGCCATTGGCCCACCTTATAAACTAATTCATAATAAATAGAATTTTTTAATTTATTCTTAAATTTATATGTTTATCTGATCTTTAGATTTCCATCTAACAGATTGAACTGAAATTTTACAAGTTTTCAATGATATTAGAAGAAAGTTCATTAACAGCTTAAACTAACATATTGTATAAGTTGATCATAAGCAGATAGTTTGTAAACATTACATTTTTTATCAATTTTTAAAATTAAAATAGAAATGCTTGCCACAATTGCAATAAATGTCTCTAAAAATATTAGAGAAAATAGATGTATCATTACATATGCCCACTTTACCCCACCTGACCCTATCATATCTATAAATACAATGGATTAATTGCTGCACATTGTAAACTACATTGCATTTGGACAATGCTAAAATTATTTCCATCCGAGACACATCAGTTCATCTTGATGCCCTGGAATCTTGTTTTATTCGTATGAATGCTTATTCCCTTGTTAACGACATTAGTTCCTCACCATCTCTTCATAGCGCCTGAAAATGAATTTTACCCTCTCGACCATTGTGGTTTTTTTCCGTTCTTTTTTCTCTTTGGCTACCGCTTTTTTTTCTAATTTTTTGTTGGCAACTTTACATTTTATATTTTAAATCACTTTTGTTTCTTCTCATTCATGTCAAGTTTTGAAAATGGGCGTCTATTTTTGAAACTCTTGAAATAAGTCTACTGTTATTTGATATTTATATATTTTGGAAGCGTTTGAAGTTTTTAATCAGGTAATATTTTACTGCTTCAGTTTCTTGGGATTATTTATTTAATGGCTTAATACTATGAAAGTGTGAATGTGGTACCTTGACTGTATGAATGTGTATGGGAGAGAGAATAGAAAGGAGTAAGTGGAGGCACCTGTGAGATGCTCAGTGGCAGCCAGCTTTGGATCAACCAGGCACTTTTGGGTTCGTGAATAAGGAGCTTTACATAGCTATCACCTCGCATGATGTATCTGTTTGAAGAAAAGAATTGAATGCTGAAAATAAAATTGATTGTTGATAGGGCATATTTCATCCCGAGTATGGCGCATAATCATGCACATTAAAGTGCAAATTATTACTTTTGTTTCCGTAGATTTCATTCAATCACCAAATCTTTTCTGATTATCATTTTGTGCCAAACTGGATATGTCGTAAATGGTATGTTTGTATATGTAACTAGTATGTTTTGCTGGCAAACGTGATTTTGAATATCTTTTAAAAGTGTGAAATTTTTAATTTTGTGATGTTGTAGAAGCTGAGGTATTTTGATATTCAGAAGGTGAAGATGCATTCCTAGAAAGGGATTAATTGGGGATGTTTCATATAAACTTCTTGATTCTAATTTAGAAGTAGACATTTTAAAACAGACTGGTGTAGAATGTGCATCTTGTAGAAAGTTTTCTTTGTTTTTAAACCACTATTTAGTAAAGACTTGCTTTCTTATGTTTCTATTTATTATAGAGATAATTTTTTTTCTGCGTCATAATTTTTCCTACACTCAGGATTTGTTCCTTTTTAATACTTGTATACTTGATCACTAATTTTTGTTGTAATTTAAAAATTAAGAAATAAGTTTACTAATCTTAAAATGTGATAATAACTATTTGTCTATAAAAAAATTTATATTGATATTCTTTTACAGTGCGGTTTAATACCAAGATAATAACGGTTTAATATCAAGATAATAAGTCTAAAGAATGGAAAAAAGTTTTTAAAAAAATATTTGATATTTTATTTTGTAAAAAAATCTCTTATTATCTACATTTAATATTTGTATTCTAATTTCTAATAAATTATAATATTGTTTGTGTAATTATAATTTTTTAGATTTTTGCACAAACAACTTGGAAACCATGTGTATAATTTTAGCATCTTGAATCCTATTATTTCATTTATTTTCTTAAGAAATTGGAAAATTTTATTCCACTTTAGATTTAGCATTAGATATAACTTGTTTATTCTTTTTTGAATTACTTAATTAAATTTTTTCATGCCTCTATTATAATGTTCTTTTAATATCTAATTACTTCTTGTTAACTTGTTTATAATACTTGCTTTAAGCCTAGTTATTTACTTTAATCAAAACTTGTTTTCTGATAATCAAAAATCAATTCTTAAATTGTAGTATGTTACTTATGATTAGCTTTAATTTCAATCTACCTTTTCCTTTGATGAAATGAATTTTTTATTAGATATAAAATAATAAATTAATATTATTTTTTGCAGATTTTAGATCTTCAAGATAACATCACAAATCTTGTAGCTGTTGTGAATAATGCAACAGTTCATTTTGAAGACATTTGTTATGATCCAGTGAATAAACAGAAGTGTATGATCCAAAGTGTAGTTAACTGGTTCCAAAATAATATGACAAATCTTTATTATTATAAAAACATTGATGACTATCTACACTATTTGAAAAATTGCTCCTCGTAAGTAATGTAAAATTATTCATTCTTGTCATTTTGTACTTACTGAATTAAAACTTTTACTTAAACTTTTTAAAAATTAATGTATTTATATTTTTTTTATTAGTACTACAATTTTTTTTATTTATTTTAAAGTTTGTTTATAATTATTTCTAGATTTTTAGCTCACATTTTTTAGACTTTTACTTAAGCTTTTAAAATTTTAAATGGTTCCTTCCACATCTTATTTGTTTGTACTTCAAAGGGCCTCTAAGATTAACTATCTATAAAACAATGTTCTTGTGTCAGCCAAGTAATGTTGTCTATACTTCTACTTTGGAGAAATATGTTAAATGGCAGTGAGAAATTCTTAACATTTCAAGTTTGAAAATATATTATGGCGAGATAAAAGTAGAGCCCTCAATTAAATTATTAGCTAATTTTTTTTCTATGCTAAGAGTTGTTCTTTAAGCAGCTTCTTCATTGTTCAGTACCAGTCAAAAGTGTGCCAAGTTTTTGCTTTTTTATCTTTAATTCACCCAAAATTGAACCTTTTTTTGTGCTGAATTTGTCATACAGCATATATTTTTAGGTATTTGTTTGGTACAATACTCAATAATTATTAAAAAAATAATAATAAATAAAAAAGTGAACAGTATTATTTTGTAAACAATATTTATTGATGTATATGTTTATATTTTTATACAGGAATCCTTTTTATGTACAGAAGATTGGATTGTCTTGTTTGGGAGAATATGGGGGTCCTGTATTTCCATATGTAGCCCTTGGTGGTGTTGGAGATGGAAATTATGCCAATGCTTCAGCATTAATTTTAACCTTTATGGTCCGAAACCATGTAGATAATGCTGATAATGCACCAGCCATTGCTTGGGAACAAAAGTAAGTCAATCTTTGTTTTGTTTTTGTGTGTTGTTTGTGCCTTTCCCATTTGATGTTGGTATTTAAATAACTGAGTAATTGATACTTTATTATTATTATAGAGAAAGAGCTTTTCTCAAATAATATTATTTAAACTGGTGTTAAAAATTAAAATTCATTATTGACATAAGTATTAAATCGCATAATGAATTTTAAATTTTTAATAATAATAAAGTTTCGCAAAATCTATTTACATCATATATATAGTTCTAGTTTTTATCCATGCGTACTCCATATACATTCATGTGCACTTTAGCTTTTATGTATATATTATATTTTTCTTCTTTCAAGGCACTACAGCCTGTTGCAGGCCGAGGTCGTCTAAAATAGTCTTTGCTATTTGGTCCCAGATGGCAAAGTGTAGATTTTATCCATGAGTATATAATATGCATATTGATAAAATTATGCGTGATAAAATTACATATTCCACATAAAATTAAATAAAATAACATCAAATTAAATATATCATGTAAAATTACTTAAAATTAAATATATTATATTACATTCATAGTATGTACATAATTTTTACCTATGTAATCCTCATGTATATTTTTAGGACACTTTTCATACTGAATTAGAAATGTTTAATTTTAATACAATTTATAGAAGAACTTAAAATTGTGGTTCCTTTTTGCTTCTTTGTATTTTTTGATTACGAAAATAAATTTTTATAATGAATCAAAAATTTGGGATGAACTTATTTTTTATACAGGTGTATGTTTCTTTTATTATGAAAATCAAGGAGGAGGCGTATAAAAGAAGAGAATTAGATATTTTTCCATGCAAAAAGTAGGAAATGAAAAGTACATAGTACTAATTTGTAGTGTCAAGAAAGTTTAAAATCAGTCACCAAATACATTTACTTTTCCTTATTAAATTTAATCATTAACAGAACTAATTTTGTTCCTTACAATTTCTAAGTACGCATATGGAATTTCAAGTATAATCAAGTTATCTGCCCTCTTATAAGGTACTGTTCAACAAGCAGCCATCTAAATTTATGTTTTCTATTAGTTCAACTCAACAACTGATGAGCAGTGAACAACGTTTTTAAATAGGTTATTAAAATTTTTTTTTTATTTATTCATTATTTTATTTATTATAAAATAGCTGTTCAAAAAGTTTTGAAATTAAAAAATTTTCTATTATTATTATAAAATATAGAAAAATTATTTTTTGTGAGGGGATGGAGAAATTTTATAAATTGAGTTACTAAATTTATCTATTTTGTCGCAGAATTTTTTTTTATTTATAGGTATTTTATGACTGAAAAGTTCAACTAAAGGACTTAGTTCTAGAAGTTTTGATCTAGAGAATAAAATTAGATTTATTAAATCCTCAATGACATATATTTTGTGCATAACTGAAAATTGCTTTGTTTTTCTAAAAGTAAAGACCACACCGCCATTTTTTGACCGAGTGAATCATTTATCTTGATTCACAATTTCAAGACTAATGGATGGTAAGGTGGTCAGTACTGCATACTGGCCCTCTATATTTCCTAGACATGCTGGTGCACATTGATCTATAACTGGTTAAGCTTCAGGGTGGCACGTCTGATAGGACAAGAATCCTGTACTATGATAACTCAATCCCTTAACAGTTGTACCTTCTTACCTTTGTTTACAAGTTTAATATTTTACTTCGGACAAAAATCAATAATATTAAAAATAACACTTTAAAATATAAATTGCAAAAATTAGTTTTTGAGCTACAATTAACTAACATTTTATGTTCAACTAAATGAGTTTTAGTCAGCATGTGCATTGAAATTCATGTTAGGAAAAAGGAAGGATAAGAAATTTCCCACAAATTTTTTTTTAGAATTATTTAATTCCTATTCTGATTACTATGTAACTTAACTTAATTATTTATTTTGTACATTAGGTTCATCGAGTTTATGAAAAATTTCAGTGATCCAGATATAGAATTTGCTTTTACTTCTGAGGTAAGTAATTGATTTTCATGTGGTAAATATTATAGTTAAATACTAATTAGGCATCTGATATTTGCATTGATTGGAAATTTTAGATTAAGTCTGTCGGGATGCGTAGCTTTTTTAAAAAGTGTTTAAAGGTGCTTATTTTTTTATTTACATTTTTTAAAAGCTCTTAAAGCTGCTTTTTTATTCAGAGCTTGTAAAAAGTGCTTAATTTTCTATCTCTTAAAAACAGATTTTTTCTTTGCCCTGTCGATTGTTGTTTTAAATTACAAAAGAAATTCATGATTTTCACAATTTTCTCTGCAATATTTATTAGAAACTAGTTATTTTATCATGATTATTTAAAGTTTTTGAAATTGTTTTTGAATTTTATTGATTTTTTGATGTTTATAAATTAGACTTTAACCGATAGAAAGAAATAATTTTTGTTGCTGTGCAGATCCTACTTATGATTTTTTTGGGCAGAGTGATTAAATATTTTTTGAGTGCTTAAAAATTACTTAAAAGGTGCTTATTTTTTGTTGAAAAATCTGGCTACGTACCCTGCAACCTGTTCAAAATATTAAAGATTTTTCAAAACAGTATTTTGTAAAAACCTCTTTATATTTTTTGTTGTTACTTGAATATTAATTTTAAAGAGTTCAAATCCTTACAAAATTCAATGGTTACATTTATTTTTTCCGTGTGACTGTTATCAAAATATATGAAATAAAAAATAAGTGTTTCAAAAACTACTATGCTCAAAAATGTATTGAGAATTTTAAAAGTAATGACAGACACTAAAATTTAATGGATGATATGTTTATTATGCTTATCATCCATGGCTATGATGCAAGGCAGATGCATGGCAAAATCCTGTATGACTTTCTGAAGTTTCTTAAACATTATGGTTTTTACTGGCCTCAATGGTAGTTCAGTAATGATTTTAGTGTTATTTACATAAACTTAGGCTTTTAGTGTTGCTTCACAAAAATGAATCAAGGGTTGGAATCAGAATGAGGTAGCCTTGACTATCGATACACACTTTGAAATGCTACATTTCAAGAATTTCACAAAAGAATGGCAAACAACTATGCTAAAAAATCCATAAAAACTTTGTATTATTGAGTTTTTTTTCATATGCTTATTAATTTCCACCCTTTGGCTTATTGTCATGTTATGTAAAAAATAGTATATGTTAAAACTAGCTATTATACTTAAAAAGAATGAATCATGTAACACTATGAATTTACTTATATCTACTCTTTTTTTTATTTATATTTAAAAATTGCATTCTTTTTTTATCTTTTGAGAACATTCTTATTTTACTCATACTAAGCGATATGATAGAAAATTTTTTCACTTTTATCAAGCGTAAATAGTATTTCAGTTATTCTATTCCCATTGAATATTTTTCTTCCATTTATTTAGTTTTATATAAAGAAAAATATTTATTTTTTAGCGATCAATACAGGATGAGTTAGATAGAGAAAGTGCAGCTGATGAAGTTACTGTTTTAATTAGCTATCTAGTGATGTTTGTGTATGTTTCTGTTACACTTGGTCAATATCATTCTTTTAGCACTATCTTGGTAAGTGAAAAAGTGTTTTTCATTAGTAATTATCTAAATTATTTTACTTTTTTTAAATATATTCTGTAAACTTTTTTGAAATTTTGGTTTTAAAAGTTAAGTTTAGTTTTGACAAGTTTACCTTTTTTTGAAAATAATACCATTATAGTCATTTTTGTCATTGTGTAATTTTAAGGATAGTTGTGTTTGTATAAACAAAAATCAAAATTTTTATTTGAAAATTGTAAATGTTTAAGGGTAAAGTGCATAACTTTAGATACTGTCTATTCTATTTGAATGTTTTTAATTTCTACACTTTTGTTTATTTTTTGGTGGCTTTAATTATTTGTTGAAACGTAAATCTGAAAGATAATTATCACCTTTTTAATGCTTTTATCTATTAAAACTTATTTAAGGCCAGTTTTGGCAAGTTTTTGAAAATATTAAATCTAGGTTAAAAGTTTATATAAAAAATCATCTTTATCACAATTTTTTAACACCACGGATTTATGTGTTTTTAAGGCAGTTGTTTTGTACATTTTTACATTTATAGTATTCATGCTCTAATATTAAAACTAGGTATTCCTATTTTTACAAATTTTGTGTTACTTTTGCAAATGCAGTTTTATTATTTTTATTAATAATATGTTTTCAAGGAATGTGTAATTTCATTTTTAAGTATGTATTATTTTATTACCTATTTATATTACCATATAGTCAGTGTAGGTAATATGTTGATGCAGCTGATAAGGCTTAAATTTTTTTTTGTCCTTGAAAATGTGACGTATGATTTATAGACCGCTTTAGACATGAGTTAATGTTAATGCTATTCAATTCTGGTTAGTAAATTGTTAATTTCTTAGCTTTAAATTTTATTTTGAAATTGAATAATCAGAAACCAAGGTAACAGCCAGAGTGCCACTTTTTTAGAGCCTATTAATAAAAAAAAAGTTTCGCTTCAAAGGGCTTCATACCTTTTTTTTTTTTTTTTTGCATTTTTATGAAAATATTAACTCTGGTGATATTAATCTCTACTTTTTACTCTTAACTCTGAAAAAATAATCTCTAACTTTGATTTTCAGATAAAGTCAAAAATTATGCTTGGTCTTAGTGGGGTTATCATTGTGTTAGCATCAGTGATGGCATCTTTAGGAATTTTCAGTTATATGGGTTCTCCAGCTACTCTCATAATTATTGAAGTTATTCCCTTCTTGGTTCTTGCTGTTGGAGTGGACAACATTTTTATAATAGTTCAATCATACCAGGTTTGTTAAGAAATAGTTTTATGGATAAAAATTTTTATCATAATTTTTAAATCTTGAAATATAATCAAACTTTTTTTTCCTATTACAATTCTTTATAAAATTATTTTAGAGGTCAAAAAGAGGCCCACTTGAAACAAGAGAACAACATATCGGACGTGTAGTAGGCAAGGTGTTACCCTCAATTTTTCTCGCTAGTTTTTCAGAATCATCTTGCTTTTTCTTGGGTAATTAACATACAGTTTTATATTAAATGCACTTTTACTTTATGAATTCTAATGAACAGCAATCAGATATTTATTTTTCACTGATTCTTCATGTTATGATAATTTTTTATTAGATAATATTTATTAATTTTTTATTGGATACTATTAATTTATTTTATAAAAGAAGAAATTTTCCATTTTTCTGTGATTTATGAGAAGATTAAAAAAAAGTAATTTTCCACTATTATGTTTATTTAATCCCACTATTATGTTTACAATATTACAAGACTACTGTCCTAATGAATCAGGACAGTGAGTTTTGAAATTGTAAGTTGCGACAAAAATTGCTTCATAATTCGTGCCTTGCTGATATACTTGATGTATCCAAGACAATCACAACTAAATGAAACCTTACCTCAAACATATTGATCCTATTCAGTGAGAGCCTAAACAATCCGCAATGCTTCTTCCTTTAACCGTTTAAAACTGGATCTAATGAATCTAACTCCATTAAAATCTTAGTTATCTTATTTGTAATGATAAAGTAATATATTATTGAGGTAAAAAATTCCAGCAATAGCCTGTTGTGGGCTAAGGGGTAATGGAGTTTAAGGCTCTACAATTTCTTCAACAGCATGATGATGGCAATGTGATCAGTATTGCATACAGCCTGGTTGCCGGTTGATCTGATTGAACCCCAATTTTTTAATAATGACAGTTCAATATCTTAACCACTATGCCATCACGACTCAATATATTATTTAGTAATACATAGATAACTCTTGCCGGGTATAATGTTTAATAAGTCTCATACTATATCAGGATTATTTAAGAATAAAGGCTTTCACTTGGTATATACGGATGTTTTTTCTCTTATACTATTTTTTTAAAGAAAAACGCAGTCGTCTGGATAATATGTATTGAAGATATTGGCTCCAAGAATTAACTGACTACGGGTGGGTTAGGCCCGCTCTTAACCGGTAAAAGATGAGAGCATTACAGATTCTTCATTTATTAATTGACTAACTGGAATTAGTCATCTCCATTTTTAAACAAATTAAACCTAGGTTTAATTTGGTTATCACTTTTATTTTATTTGTAACGCATGTTTCAAAAAATTTGTCCTATATGCTTATTAAAAGAGAAAATTCTTGCCTCAAATTAAAATACAATAATAGCTCTTTCTATTTATATGAATTTGCACTTTTTATTTTAAAAGCACTGTCTTGTTTTATTAAGACAGAAATAACGCTTCTATATGATTTGTTATAAATTCTTAAGAAAGTATTGAAATATATATATATATATATATATATATATATATATATTAAATCAGACTATAATTT